ATGTGGTGCCGTATAGCCATTTGCAACGGCTATTCTCGCAGCAAGCTGTCGTGATTCTGCTCGCTCGACATTACCAGTGCACATTCCTGTTGCCGTTTTGAACATGTTGTTAACAACAGCACGTTTGACGGCAGTAGGATGCGCCGATGTCGCGTGAATCAAGACGTTCTTCGAGCTGCTTTTACGGTACCACTTTACATGTCTGATGCCAGATTCATCAAGCGGAAGCACTCATCCATTCCGGATTGTGTTGATGTTATTATGAAACAGTCATCAATATTCTAAAGTAAGGACTTCACACCTGGTTCTCTATGTTATCTTATAAAGATCATAGCGAGAAAACTGCCCCCAGGATCAGGTCCCAATGGCAGCCCTCTAATAGCTCTAATTTGGGAGTAGTACGTACCTGCCCATTTGAAGATATTACAATTCAAACATTCCTTGATTAGAGTCATTATGTGCGCTTTATCGAGTCCAAAAGTACGTATACGAGTGATGTGCCTGTCAAGCATTTCTGACAATGCTTGCAAGGCTTGCTCGTTTTGGACGTTGGTATAAAGCGATGTAACGTCAAATGACTCCACTACAGCACCGTTTTGCAAATTGCAAGTGCGCAGCTTCTCAAGGAACTGATTCGTATTAGGCAGGTGAGAGGGAACCATGGGTAACAACTGGCTGACAATGCTGTTCAGAAACCAAGATATCCGGTCGGTTGGTCCCCCACGCAGCTAATGATGGGATTGTCTAAGTATCCGCTGGCAGTGCTAGCATGTTGTCGTGAGGAGCAAGCTTATGAGTCTTTAAAAGGCTATAGAAAACTGGACAATTTGGGTTGTCCAACTTGAGTCTACCAATGAATTTCTCATCAAGCCGTGCAGATTTGCCTACGCTCACCCAGACATGGTTAAGATGTCTGCACTGCGATAAGAATCCTCTCATCTACACGGCGATAAACAGTGGAATTCCGCAAGTGAATTTGGGTTATGGCAATGCAATGTGGTATTATTATTTACAACTGACTAACGCTCTGTGTGGCAGCGGACCTCTCCGCTCAAAGGGTGGAACCGACGGTGAGTTTATTTCTCGCACTGTTCCTGATCTTCTCGAGGGGTTTCTGACACGATGTCGAAACCGCTAGAGTTGATGAGGCGCTTGGTGGTGTAGAGCGTAAGTCTAACGCTTGAAACACGTTCAGGCCTCTGAAGACGACGATTCAGTCGAAACGTTAGGCCATTGAAATAAATGTTCCACCAAACAACCTCGTAAAGGCACAAGAAATTAACAGAAATTATTAAAAATGTCCCAACAAGAATATGTGCCGTCGTTGAGCATCAAGGATGCCCGAAAGGTTTCTGCACGTAACGTCTAGCATAGAAGTAAGGCGAGAAGTAAAAAATTCTGCTCAAAAACGAGTCGAATTCTGCCTCCCAGCACTTGAAATGTGGTGTACATTTTTATGCGTGATTTGAAGTGCTGAGCTCAAGTAAGCTTTCATCATCTATTAAATGATCCTCTGGACTTCCTCAAGCAGCCGAGTGGCGCAGCGGTAGTAGTCCTGACCCACGAGGAAGAGGTCGTGGGAACGAGCTCTTAGTGAATTTGCTCTTTTGTTTTTAACGACAACACGCTAAAAAGTCTCGCTATGCATGACGTATGGAAACCAAAAGAGTTGGCTCGCTTGATAGTCGATCCCACGACCTTGGGCCTGTGATCTCGACTCACTACCGCTGCGCTTTTCGGTTTACAGATTTCAGAAAATCATTTAGCAATAATAAAAGCAAATCTAAGCTCAGCTTCTCGGGGCGCTCATGGGAATGTTTACCTCACTTCAGTTAACCGGATTGACCTGATAACCTTTCCTGCACAAATTCAATGTAATGAAGTGACAAGGTCAAGATCTGAACTAGAAGTTTCCCACTTGGACAGCGATTGTATATCTTTACTTATTTATATATGCATGCATAAAGTAC